CTCCACACTGTGTTATCTTGGACTCCAGCATCGGCAGTTCTTACTATCTCCATGTGCTGTATAGCTAGTTTGTGGCTACGATGCCCGTACTTCTAACTCAGCACTGAGGTTCTGCCAGTTATTTTTGTACGTACTTGGGGAAACTGATGCACGGGGCAGATTGCTTCTAACCGATGTGTTGTCTGCTTCTGCAGCCAAAGAACCTTCAACGCAACTCAGCGACGAAGTAAGAGATCAGCTGCTCGAGGCTTCGGCTGCCACCCGCAAAGCCTACAACACCTTCCGCAGGGAGGCTGACCCAGAGGACCACTTTGCCGCTGCGGATGGCAACCAGACGGCTGCAGAGAAGAACAAAGACGATGGTGAGATGAGTGCCGTGATTGCCATCATGCAGCCAATCCTTCGCTTCTTGCAGCTGCTCTGTGAAAACCATAACCGAGACCTTCAGGTACCACACAGCCCTCTGCTATGGAATTCTCGAGACCAACTCTGGTCCGCACCCTGTTGTGACTGCAATTGGAAAAAACGCGCTGCTCTAATGTCACCAGAGTACGGTTTCTGCCTTGTGCTTCACAGCCCAAAAATATCTTCTGTTCATTCCAGCTAGAGTCTTTAATGTGGCCAGTGAGGTATTGCTATGAAATCCCAATTTCAATATCTTCATATGAATAGTTTCATTTATTGAAGGGCATCAAAGGGATGGTAGTTCTGGAGCTGACGAAGTGCATGTTTGGTCCATATTTGAGATGCTTTGATTTTGCCGATTATGGCCCACGTTGCCTTGAGCAGTAGGTGGATTTGAGTTGGAAGCCTTTCAATATTTTGCGAAGCTTGCTGTGTTCAATGTCAAAAGCTGTTCCAGTGCCCATTGTTGAAGGTTTCTCTGTAATTAATACAAATGGTGTTTCAACTACTCACTAGGTTCATTGTCAACGTCTACAATCAGTCTGTGAATATTGGGATGGTGGGATGTCTAACAATCGGAAATTTCAAATTGGCACACTTCGCCAGGAGAAACAGCCAGAAAAAATGTTAATGCAGTAGTTGCAGGGGTTTTGAGCAGAGGATTTGAATTAAAATTGGTGTAGAATGCACATCACCAAAGATAGTCTGCTCTGTGGACTAGAACAGATGTAGACTCTTTTGCAGTATTTATTATTGATTGGAGCTGTGTTATGGGCCAAGTCTTTGTGGTTTGAATCCTTCTATCCTGTTTGGCTGGGAACCCATCATAAATGGTTTCAAATAACTTAACTAACGCATCAATGAATCAAGCCATTGCATTCAGAACAAGCATCCAATGTAATGGGCTATCCATTGAACTAATATGCCGATAAGTTGGCTGTTCCTAATGTTCTTTGTTCTAATACTTCTCCAAAGGTTTTTAAATGAGTTCTTCATAGCTGATATTTTATTCTGGTCAGGAATAGTCTAAACCCTTTGAAATATTGTGCTGGGCAAGATTTCTACTGTGGCATTTTGCCATGTAATGATAAGCAACCCTGACTTAATATTCAGAGTTCAAGGAGGCAAAGCATCTGTTGTTTTAATATTTTGAGGAGGAGAATACATTTATTAACTATTTTAAATGCATTGATTCTGCTGAGTACTGTTGAGTTATATTTGGTGTAATTTTTTTGTTGAGTTGTGTCCTGATCTAGTTTAATATTCTTTCTCTTATTGAAGGGGAGATTATATAGTGGCTTAAGGTATATTCTAAAGAGGCAAGTTGTTGGAGGATCTCGGATATGAGTCTCCTCATGTTTGCTCAGATGTTGAACAGGTAAAAAGATACACCCTGGTCTGTAATGAATGAGGTCCACTTGGTCAGCAATACTAAAGAAGCTATCGAGTGTATGGAAACCCCAAAAAGCGCACATTCTATATTCTTGCTTCTTTTCATAGGATAGCTAGCCAGGTCAGCATTTGTTGTCCATTCCTGTAGTGCTTGAGGAGATGGTGGTAAGCGCCACCTTTAAACCACTCTGCGGGTATCCTTACACCATGTAAACCAATGTTGTTAGGGAGGGAATTCCAGGATTTTAACCCAGCAACACTGAAGGAATGTCAGCATTTTTCAAAGCCAGAATTGTCCGTGACTTGCAGAGTAGCTCGCAGGTGGTGGCGGTAGGGGTGCTCCCATTGGATCTGTTGCCAATGTCATTCTAGGTAGTGGGGGTCTTGTTTAGGAGGCCAAAAGAGCCTTGGTGAGTGGCTGCAATTCGTCTTGTAGATGATGCTTATTGATAGCACCACTCCTGGGGGTAAAGGAGGGGAATGCTTTAAAGTGTTAGTCTGTTGAGTGTTGAGTTTCTCAAGTGTTGTTGGAGTTACCCTCATCCAGGAAAGTTAGGGAGATTCAATCACACTCCTGATCTGTAGCTGTTAGACGCCCGACAGTCTACAGGGAGTTGGAAAGTGACTTGCCAACCCAACACCAGCTCGGGTATTCACGTTATTTATATGTCTGCCCCAGTTCAGTTTCTGGCCAGTGGCAACCCTGAGATGTTGATAGTCAGGGATTCAGCGATGGTAATGCCTTTGATGTCCAGAGGAAGTGGTTCAATTCTCTCTCGCTGCAGATAGTCATTGCTCAGCACTTGTGTGGTGTGAGTGTTACTTGCCACTTATCAGTCCAAGCTTAAATGTAACTTGATTTTTCTGCAATATGGATAGAGACAGCTTGACCGTCTGTGGAGACGTCAACTGGGTTGAACCTTTGTGGATCATTAATAAAAGTCAAGTCATTGACAGTCAAATGATGTTCATTTCCAAATCTTGTCAAGGTAACAATGCTGAACGAAGCATTGTGCAGTGAAACTAAAATTATTGTGCAATCTTTTATTCAGAGGCATCGTATATTCCCCTTGATTTACCTTCATCAGGAAACGCCTTCTTTGACAAAAGAATAGGTCTTTTCCTATTGATTCCAGTGATATGCTACTGTTGCATACCTTTAAATCAGTTATTGCTTTGTCTAGACTGTGACATCTCACCAGGCTAAGTTGATTTTGGTTCTGGAGTCGGTATTCTTTTGAGTTCAGCTTTACCAAAAACTGCTACGAGTGTCCCCTATGGTCAGGAGTCTACCTATTACTGCCCAGAATCTAGATATCCAGCAACCTAAGGTGTATCTGGGGCGCAGTGCATAATAAAATTCTTCATTGTGCATACTCGTAAAAGTTCAGTATATTTTGAGCAAATCACACAAAGTTTGTGTTTGAATTGAGTGCCTTGTCCTGAGACCATTGGCCTGGTGTCATATTAGGCTTAGTTAGAGTTTCTATGAATGAAATTAGTTTGTTTAAGTGTTCAAAAATGGAGCCTTGGCCTAAAAGTTTATTTTTATCAAAGGCCTCAAAATTCCTGGGCCCTGAAATAGTCGAAATCTCATTTGATTGTGCTCTTCCAGGATTCTGTTGCATTGAAGCATTGAAATTCCACACCTGATGTTCAATATTTCTTACGTCCTCCATATAACGCAGTGCTGTTCAGCGGAATGAGTTAGCTCCCCAGATGTAGCGCTGTCACGGCTCCTCTTTTGAGGCTATGACTGAGCATACAGGGTTTCACTCTGTATTTTGACTGTATTGATCTAGAAATGTTTGATATTTTGTACTTGAAAAAAGTTGAATTCCAATGACTGCACTAACATCTTTCACCTTCAAGAACACAAATATTGGACCAACGATGCGCAGCAAGTATGTTTCAATGGAACTCGAATCCTACAAAAGCAAAATAGGGTTGCGGGGCAGGGAGGGGATTTTCTGGAAACTGAAAGGAAAACAGGAAATAGCAAGTGGGCCAGGCAGTCTCTTTGGAGAAAGAAATAGAATTAATGTTTCATTTCCAACTCAAATTCCAACTGAGCAAACTGGGGGACGTAAAAGAAATCTTCCAACAGGAAGATGTGCAGATGATCCCAGGTGAATGTAAAGCAGAAACAATGGTGGCTTGCATTTATTGTAAATGCATGGAGTGGAGGGAACAAGAAAAGACATGGAGTGCCAATTTGCACAAGGGCAGAAAACAAAACATTTAGTGCATTTTTTTTGTGCTCATTCACCTCCTTTCATATTTGGCTTATGAAGGAGAATCCCAGGTCTGTCCATCTAGCAGCAGCCACAGTGGAAATTAATATAAGGAAGCACGCATTTTTTTTAATAAGGTCCAATTTTTTTTTAATGAGGCCTCATCATTTTATTTACAATAAATTGCCATTGGCCTGAAAGGAATAATCTGTTTTGGGGGGAGAAAGTGAGTAATCTACAGTAATTAAATGCAGTATTCATGACTAGTTATTTTGCTTGTATCTTATTCAGTTTCCAAGAGGCATTGGTTCTTCTGGCAAGTATTCATCTTTACACCATAAGCACAGGAGTTTGTCAAAAGATTGAATGAATTTGTGGTATCAGTGCTGTAGTATAGATTCTCAGAGAAGATAGATTAGAGAAATGTCTGAATTATCAGGACGTTGAGGACTATGAGGAACTGGCATGAAAGAGGAGTTGAAGGTTGGGGCAGATCAGCTAACGGGCCGAATGGCCTCCTACTTCTATTTCTTATGTTTAGTGCCCAACAGCATTGATTGGTGGGCAACTGGATGACCATTGATCATTGTCCATTCTCCGTACAGTCAGGGCCAACAGAATGGAAGAGTCTGGCTAATAAAAGTGGCTGTGACAGAATGGAGTACACAAGGGGAAAACAAGCCGGGAGGAAAATTAAGCAACCAGAGACCAGTAACTACGCGATAGGCCACTGGGGCTGCACTGTTGTAAAATACTGCAAGCAGTGCCACGTCAGGCCTATAAAGCCATGAGGTGGAAACTCATAATTCAACACCACTCCAACAGATAAATATGATGAGCTGCCAATGGAGATTTATTTTGCACCACAGCTTATTAAATCATTTGAGCACATGAACGGAAGATTAAGAAGCGAAGAATAATTAAAGCCTAAGCACCCCAGAAATAAACTGATTCACTACTGTAACCCTTCAGGCAATTTTAACAGTAGATACAGTAGAAATGTTATTTAAACTCAAAGTAGCAGCTACCATGACAGGGAGCTTTGAATCATGTAGATGACCAGAACATTCCTTACTGTGCGATAAAACGGGACACAGGCCAAAAATTTAACTGTTCCCTTGCACTGTCATTGTTGGAGCATTTTCTAATTTGTAATCTTGATGGTTTAAGACTGTACTGGTGTCTGTCTGGTGAAAAGGAAGTAAGTTCTGTGGAAGTTTTTTTTCCACAGCCTGTGCTTTAGAGACAGGAGGGTAGCAGGTCATGGTAACCAGAACTGTTGTTCTGTCCATTTTATACAAAGCAGGGTGAGATCCTTGCCCAACAAATGCAGAGGCAGAGATAGTAAGAACCGCCAATGCTGGAGTCAGAGACAACACAGTGTAGAGCTGGATGAACACAGCAGGCCAGGCAGCATCGGAGGAGCAGGAAAGTTGACGTTTCGGGTCGGGACCCTTCTTCAGAAATGCGGAGGCAGACCTTGGCTGCATTATCATGTGACCTGATGTCACTTCCTATGATGTCATCAGCTAGCCAATTAAGTGCTCTCATCTCCAAAAATGTCCAAGCAAGCTCTTTCCAGTTAAGTATTTTTTTTGACATGTAGTCATTATTATAATTAAGGCAACAACACAGCACCAAATTTCTACACAGCAAGACCCCATAATTGCAATGTGATCATGGGCTGATATTCTGTTAATGATGTTGTTCGAGGAATAAGTATTGACCAGGGCATAAGTATTGACCAGTGCAGTACTGTCAGTCTTGAGATCTCTTACTCACAACTCCCTTCTCCATGCTGAACCGTGATTATTTGTTTTTTAAAATCTGGTGGTTTCTTAATTTATTTTCCTTTTCTCCTTGCAATTGTCTTGAGCCCTATGGAGCTATTCGTAAATGTGGTCGAGGAGTCACCTCTGAACTTGAGCACCTGTTGAAACTTGTGAAGCCAAGCAGGAAGTCCTTGTGACCATTAATTATCCATTTTCTGATTTCACCTCAGAACTTCCTGAGATGCCAAAACAACAAGACTAATTACAACCTGGTCTGTGAGACTCTGCAATTCCTGGATTGCATTTGTGGCAGCACCACGGGTGGGCTGGGTCTTCTGGGACTCTACATCAATGAGAAAAATGTGTCCCTCATCAATCAGACACTGGAGAGCTTAACTGAATACTGTCAAGGACCCTGCCATGAGAATCAGGTATATTTTGTGCCACTGGCTTTATTTTTGCTAAGAGCCTATTTACTGTAAAATTAGTTAACGTTTCATAGAATCATAGAATCCCAACACTGAAGAAGGAGGCTATTCAGCCCATCGAGTCTGCACTGCTCTGAAGACTGTCTGATCCAGATGCAGCTGCCCCCACAACCCACCTTTACCCTCCACCTTGTCCCCATAATCGAGGCCAATCCACCTAACCTGCACATCTTTTGGACTGTGGGAGGAAACCGGAGCACCCGGAAGAAACCCACGCAGACACGGTGGAGAATGTGCAAACTCCACACAGACAGTCGCCCGAGGGTGGAATCGAACTTGGGTCCCTGGCGCTATGAGGCAGCATTGCTAACCACTGAGCTACCGTGCTGCCCCCATTTCATTGTAAATAATTTGAAGATGGCCAAAGTATGTTCAGCTGGTAGCGGAGGTGAAAATACGTGTGTCGGTAGAAGCGTATGCCAGTATGAAAGATGACTGCACTCAGGAGTCCCTTTTTAAAGTTATCATTCTGGCTGTAAACATCAAACAAAAAGCATGCCCTCAAATTATGATTATTATCACTATTTTATCAGGGCATTTTAGCACCCCCTCATTAAAGCACTGGGAATATTACAAGCTGGATGTTGTGCTCAAGTCTGTGCAGTGGGATTTGACCCCTCGATCTTTGTACTCAGAGGCGAGTCTTGGCTGACACTTAATTAAACAGAGCAAGCTGTCTGGAGCACCAGTAGTGCCATTCTGGATTACTGTTTTTGTTTGGAATGGTTTTATTGTATTCCCTGTCTCATTCCCTTATACTGGGGTTTAAGCAGCTCCCACTTCATCCTAATGTACAGGTAATTAACTAACCACAGGTATTCCAGTGCAGGTACGTCAAGTGTTGTTTCCATGAATAGGAATCTTAATAAATAGATGTTTTGACAAATTTGAAACTATTGGTTTCGTGGCAAACGTTTGAATCGCGAAGGGGAAACATGATTCAAATGACTTTGTTTTTAAAATTTGTTTGCACAGAACTGTATTGCCACCCATGAATCGAATGGAATTGACATCATCATTGCATTAATTCTGAATGACATAAATCCACTGGGGAAAAAACGAATGGACCTCGTACTAGAGTTGAAGGCAAGTCAGAAGATAATTCTCATGGATGAGCCTTGTGTTTAAAAGTAGAAAGGGCAACCAAAATGATTTGCCTAGTTGTCAAAGATCACCACCATTTGTACCACCTGGAATACCACCAGGCCCCAAGTTGTATTTCTCGCCTTTGCTGAGTTTATGGGAGAGAACCTTGGGCCTTAGGTCATATTCCAACTTGTGTGGTATCTATTTAGTTCCATCCACCCTAGTTTGAACCTTTTTCTCTGAACTGAATCTGCCTCTGGCCCCTCTCTACTTTTTTTTTTTCTGGGTTGTACCAGCCATATTCAGTGAACACTTTACCAGTTATGTCACCAGGATTCTTGTCGAGCTTAGAATCATCGAATCCTTCTAGTGTGGAAACAGGTCATTCGGCCCAGCAAGTCCACATGGGAGCCCATAGGAATGCAAACAACAGATTCAACCCCAAACGTCAACCCATTGCTTTAACCACTCATCAACAACTATAGGCCCCGAAAGTTCCCTCATCCCTGAGATCCACTAACTACCACAGTGCAACTAATAGGGAAATTGCATCCTCTGTCAAGACCAGGCAATGCATTAATTTGTGGGGTGGTAAATTTGCATAAAACTATATGCTAAAAATGAGGATAGGCATTTAACATGGTCATCCCCATGTTTTTGGGATCCTAGTGTTGGGATGTGAGATAATGTGAAGAGGAAAAATTATGAACAGAGATGGATTAGTTGAGAGGAATATTGGGAATATACAGGATGCATTAAGAACATGACGTAGTTGAAAGACAGCAACAATATCCAAGACACATGCTCTGTGATGGTTTGGGTATATTCTGAGAATGAAGATAGTTGGAATGCCTTTAATATTGTGGCAGTCGTGGGTCCTTGGAACTTGGAAAGTCCAGAGAAGTACTGAATTAACAATATCAAGAGTATTTTTTCACTGAAAGGTGTAGAAATTATTGAAGGGAACAGATTAGCTCAGAACCAATAACATTGAGTTAATTAATTCCTCTTCCCTGCTGTGTAATGGAATGGATGAAAATTTAGTTGTAATATGTAATATAAACATTGGCTACAGTATGGATCTGGACATGTACATATTGCCATCACTGGTCATTAAATGAAATGTTGGATCTGTTAATTTAAACTTTCTTTGAAACGAATTGACGTTATGTTTCCATATGTGGCATTTTGTCATCTATGCAGTTAATTCTCAATCTGAATAGGACTCCTAAAATGATCAAGATTGATTATGCCCAAGACAGTGGATAAGCAACAGTCATTGACTTGGTATTTTGTAGACTGTATTTTGTAGACTGTGTGGTTTTTTTTTTTTGTTTAGATCTTTGATATCACTATTTGTTCTTAGAATATCGTAATAATTTTCCAAGTTACAGAATATGGTTAGAAATGGCAGGTGCCCTTCTCCTGACATCCATGTGTCCTTTTCACAGAATAATGCCTCTAAATTACTGCTGGCAATCATGGAGAGCAGGCATGACAGTGAGAATGCGGAGAGGATACTTTACAACATGCGGCCCAAGGAACTGGTAGACAGCGTTTTATTTTACATATACTGTGTGTTTCCTTCTCCTGCCAGTGAATCTATATTTTAATTGACAAAGCCAATGCTTTCTTAGGTGGAAGTGATCAAGAAGGCCTATCTCCAAGGTGAGGTGGAGTTTGAGGAAACTGAAGATGGTGAGGATCATGCAGCATCGCCCCGGAACGTTGGCCACAATATTTACATTCTTGCACACCAGGTAAACTTGAACGTGGACTCGAGCATGGGTTCAGCCGAGGATAGTGAAACAAGGATCGTGTTTGTGTCTTCAGTGGCATGAACAATACAGTCAGTAATCTATCCATCTCCTCGTCATACATAGGACGCCTTGCTTCCAATTCAGTTCATTCTTTGTAATGAGGAACATTTTAAAAAATCAATTTTATTTGGCACTATAGTTCCAGCTAGGTGGATTGTTTACATTTTTAATGCATGGTATATATTTAAGCCATCTGTTGGTTGGACAGTTGTTTCCAAACCACAAGGTCCTAGGTTCCAAGTCCCACTCCAAGGCTTGAGCTCGGAGAAAAAAAAAATGGCTGGCACTGCTGAGGGAGCCCTGCAGTGTTGGAGGTGCCTTCCATTAAACCAAGGTCCCACCTGCCTGTTCAGGTGAATGTGAAAGATCCCACGGCAGTGTTTCGAAGAGCCGGGGAGTTTCCCCAGGTAGCCTTGCCAAAATATATTCCTTAACGTGACAGCCAAAAAAAAAGGGCCAGGTCATTATCCCATGGATAATCACACTCCTGTAACACCAGTTGATGTGTTTTTTTTGTGTAGCTGAATATTGTGGTCACAGATGAGTCAGCAGATGCTGCACCATTTTTGAGGACCAGACAAAATAAATATTCCGTTGCCACCCGCCAGTTGTAAGGAAGGAGGCGGGCACCTCAGGGGCATTTGATGGGCAGGAATGTTTGAAGTGCACAGAAGAATGTTTCATTCACTGTTGAGCTATAGAGGAATGTAACTGTTTCAGCCCTGGCACTCATAATGTTGCTTATTCCTGCAGTTGGCACGTCATAACAAAGAGTTGCAGCAAATGCTGAAACCTGGCAGTCAGATGGGCGAAGGTGATGAAGCCTTGGAATATTATGCTAAGCACACAGCTCAGATTGAGGTCAGTAAAAATGAGACCCAAAAACAACAGATACCAGCATCTTGTACCATTCTTATTTACAGCCTTGTTGGAAGGAGATCAATTAAAAAACATGCTATTGGAAGATTTGACAAAGTTCTCGGAACCAAAACAAACAGCTAATCAGACAAGCTTCCCAGTTTAGATTGTAGCCTTAAAAATTATGGAAAGTTTATTATCTTAGGAAATGGACTAAGATAACACGTCATGTTCTGAGTCATGAAATAATCATTAGTTCTTCCTTGTGTGTGTTTTTTCAATCGTATACAATGGAAATAGTTGAGTGAATTGGCAGATAAGTGCCTTATAGAGACACTGAGGCCACTTGAGCCTCACTGACCATATAGAGCAACCTTCTTTTGTTTTCTACGTGCACTGGCTACCCAGTTAACTTTGCATGAAGTGATAGGGTCCATAATTGTTCCAAATTCATGTATCTTGCAATTTTACGTCTCTTTAGCAGGAACTGAAAATGCCCCAGACTAGTAATTGCTGAGAGTAAAACACTGATCAGTGAGTCAACTTCAGAGTCATTGAGGCCTGTTTTAACTCCGGAAGGGAAATAAGCAGAAAGGAGGTTGTCCTACCACAACATTTGGGTGGCAAGCCTGGCAGATTTTATATTGTCGGATATCCTTGCAGTGTCCAGTCAGTTCCCTCAGCTGCTTTCGGTGGTTAGAGGCTGCAGGTGAGCAATGGCTAACTGTGCTCCTCTATGAAAGCTCATAGTTCTGGCTGGAGCTGGAATGCCACTGACTCGGAATACCAAGCTTACCTTCCCGTAGGGTACGTGTAAATGAAGTCTGTTTGGTTTCTTGAATTTTAGTCAAAAGTAGGCTCAGTGAATTCTGCTTCCATGTAAAAGCTTTGGGATTTATATAAAACGTAGCGGCAGTGCGGGAAGTTCTTCATGAAGGTATTCCTCCGGTATCAGAGGAAGAGTTGTGTTGTCATTCGTTTGCTCTCGCTAAGTGAACCACCGATGCTTAGGATCCAGACGTGCAGTAGCCCATGGTGGTTAATGACTGTAAATGCAAAAGCTGTATGAGGTATTGTCATTGTCATTGTCACCTAGTCACTCACTGGGAACCGGACTCAAAGCTCTGAAGGCACAAAGACAGAGTTTTACTTAACAACTGTGACAATGTCTGAGTGTCTTTGTTGCACCAAACAAAATAGTCAGTAGTGGCTGAACGAATCACTGTCTTTGGGCAGCCACCTTTCGCAGCTTATGTACTGAGAGGAGCTATCTCCTGGCTCACTGGCTCCATTGCCCCATTCTTGAATGTTACATGTTTGATGCATCCAGTAGTTTCTCTTATTTTTTTGCTGGCTGGCACTTGACGACTACATCTTCCACGATGTTTTTCATAATCGTGCAATTTGATTTGCATCCTGGCCAAATGTACACACGGGCTTGTGGTTGAAACCCAGCTGATTTGCTGTAATAGAATATGAAAGATTGACTTGATATCTGGAAGCTCATTCCAAGCAAGTGCAGCAAATGACTGAAGATGACGGTAGACATGTTCAACCTCCCTTCCCCAGCTGATTGAGTGAGTGGGCACAGGGCAGCAGGAGACGGTGAATGCAAAAGTCTTAGGGCAGCAGTACTCCGCTCTGCCAGGTACTGTGGAACAGCTTAGCATGGAGGTGTTTGATAGTACTGGACTTCCATGTGATGGCTAGAATGAATGGCCTGTATCCAGGACACGAAGCAATTTTGCCTGTTACTTGAAGTGAATCGAATGACTGAACATGAGTATCTGTAGTATTGGAGATCACGGGCTGGGGCTTCGAAGGATGTTCATTCAGCATTTCCAGCTGAAGACGGCAACAAGCTTTTCATCTTTCTTTATCTGTATGCACACTGGGCTGTGCTGCCATGGAGGATGATCTTGTTCAAGGAGCTGCCTTACTCTCCTGTTAATTTTCCATCAACGTTCGCAACTAAATGCGGGAGAATGGCAGTGCTCTGACTTGAAGGCTCATAAATGTTAACAGCACAAAACGAGACCATCGCTTCCCAATTTCTTCTAATATTTCACAACGTTCCACACTGATATCAATACCTGCTTTGGCCTTTACCGTTGCGAAGACCAACGTGTGAAGTCTTCATTGTGCACTATGTCCACATCTTAAGTTCAACACAGATTACCTCAATGGTCCCTATTGAGCCCTACTCTTTCTCTAGTTATTCTCTTGTTCCTTGTTCCTTGTACATTTTAAAAACAAAATCCTTTGGATTTCACTTTATTCTATCCATGAATCCTTTCTCATACCCTCTTTGCTAACTTTTATTTTTAAGAATCTCTCTCCCCACAATCTTTTCTTACTCTTCAAGGGACTCTGCCACATTAAGCCTTCAGACTTACTTTTCTTCCCCCCCTTAATCCTAATCTGTATGCCCCTTGACTGCATCCAATGGATTTGCTTAGCTCTATCTGTCGCATGCCACTTCCGTTGTTTCGCAAGCATTTAGTTGTAGGTTTGAAGCTTCATCGGCTTGGCGCCTCATTTTTAGATCTACTTGGTCCTGTACAGGCTTTCTATTCTGCACTGATTAAACCAGGCTGATCTGCTGGCTTGATGGTAGAGTAAAGATTACGCCAAACAGAGGTTACAGATTGTGACTAATACAGTTCTACTGCTGAATAACAGCACCACAAGGACGTCCAGTTACAAAATCCTCGATCTGTTCTTGAAGTTTCCAGTTTAATACAGTAGTAGTGCCTCAACCATTCATGATGTCCTCATTGTCATGATGAGACTTGACCTTTACAAGAACTTTGTGGTCAACTCTCTTACCAGTCATCACAACTTTGTAAATCAGTGATGATGAGATTCTCCGTTCGTAACCATTCTGTTAACACTTGGTGTGAGTCCGGTTTGCCAGATGTGTCCATAAGGCTTTGCCCAGCTCAGTTCAACTCAGGGTGGGGTGTAGGGTAGTCAGTGGAATCAGTCTTGGTGACAGACATTGAACTTCTTCACCTAGAGTACATTCTGTGTCATTGCTACTTCACAATGAGCAATTGTTTGTTTTTGTTTTAAACTGATCTTCAACCAAAATCCCGATCATGCGTGCTGCTGATCACAGGCTTATGTCTCCTGAACTATGCACAGCAGAAAACAGCAATCATCAATAAAAGTCTGCAAAATGAAGCAGTGACAATTTAATCTTCACTCTCTTCCAAGGTGTTTCTGAAGACACAAAGAACCTTCTCAATCCCGGTGGGACAACAGACCTACCCTTCTTCCTTTCAAATCCTATTGACACACAGGTTGGATTCCTGCATTTTCTCAAATCATAGGCCCATCTGAAAGCCCTGTCCAATTAGTCTGAAGTGAAAACACCCAGTCAACATCCATAGCTTTGAAAATGTTTTCAAGGAAGAACTTAAGACACAAAGACAATTCAGTGGAGACTATAAGCATGTTTTTAATTTGAAAGAGTTGTTTAAAATTTTGCACCTTAGTAAGTCCATCACCAATAAAATGGTTAAAACTGTTCTCTAGTATTTTGAGATGATTTGGTCTGTTCATCAACAGACTCACGTACTTCTTCTTACGCCCAGTATAAATATTTGCAAAAAGTTTTTACATTCCGAGTTAGAGGAAGTAACATTTACAGGCAGAAAGTGTCTGCTGTACAAAAGACCCTTAATAATCTATAACCCATATAAGGTTTTGGAGTAGATTTGTAGCTCGGGTTGTGGGTGTTGAGGTTGGTTGGCTCGCCGAGCTGGCTTGTTGTCCCGCACACGTTTCATTACCGTGCTTGGTAACATCCTCGGTGCACCTCTGATGAAGATCCTGGGACAGGCTCGGCAGATACAAGCACGAGAATTCCTGGAAGCATGGCACTCCACGAAGCAGGGTACTAATAAACACATTGAACTCGACTCCATATACATTCCACTACGGAGGAAACCCGGAAGTGAGGCAATCCATCGCAAGGGACCCCAGAGTTTAAAAACCAGGCGGGAAAACCCACCGACGCTTCATCAGAGGCTGCACTGAGGATGTTACCAAGCACGGTAACGAAACGTCTGCGGAACAACAAACCAGCTCGGCGAGCCAACCAACCTCAATATATCCCATATAGCGTATATTGGGAATTAATAATCTACACTTGTACAGTCGCAAAGATGAAGTTTAAATTTTGTTAGTATTGTTGATATTGATAAAGTTTTAATTCAATCTATCTTTTCGGCAGATTGTGAGGCAGGATCGCACTATGGAACAGATAGTGTTCCCTGTTCCAAATATCTGCGAGTTCCTTACCAAGGAATCTAAACTGCGTGTGTACTATACCACTGAGCGGGATGAGCAAGGGAGTAAGATAAATGACTTCTTCCTGAGCTCTGAGGACCTCTTCAATGAAATGAACTGGCAGAAGAAGCTTCGAGGTGGGTTTAATTTCTATTGAACTACATTTCCTCTTTGCTGCAGGCTGTAATGCAAAAAAAAAAGCTGAATCCTCGTCTCTTCTTGATATTATTACCTCTTAATAACCCAACCAGTAACCTTGAAGCTTGCAATGAATGCTGAAATAGTCCAGATGGAACACTTGTCTGCAAATGTGTTTTCACCACAGATATTAAAAGTATAAATGAGGCTATAGTTTATCTCTCTGCATGTTTTAGCATTAATTATATCTGACCTTGGCATGTGTTATCTCAGCCTGGAAGAAAATAATCCTTCAGAGTTTAAATATTTGTAAATATTCATAGGCAAAATGAACACAGCCCAAGGACAGTAACCGTTGGTCGGGAGTTTGAATTTTGACTGTGGGAGTTGGTTCTTGTGCCCAGTGAAATGGTTTCCACTGAAATCATTGGATGGCATTCGTATCCAAAGCAATTGGCTTTATCATTGTGCTGTTTGGTTATGGCCTGTGCTTTCCTGGGTAGGGGGGACACCAAAGACTTGAGAAATAAATCCAGATTTGATACGTCAGTGTTGCCTTGCTGAAAGTGCCATCGATCGAAGGAATTGTTTGACAGAAGCCACACTGCCCCAATCTTACCACCTCCAATTGTTTGGTCATTATCAAATTCTCCTGTTGGTAAGGGATCTTGCCTGTGCGCGCATCAACTCCTGTGATCCCTACATTGGAGTGACTGCCCTTCGAAGTACTATAAAATGAGTCAGAATGTCCAGAGGTGATGGAACATGCTGAGCAGTAAGCAGAAGTGCTTCCTTCTTTCTTCGGCATTTGCACCAAAAAAAAAACCAGCAGCAGTCTTACACAAACCAATAACGGGTGTTTTGAGTGTAGTAAAGTTGGGCAACTGGCTGCAATACATCCCAGTTTCCTCTTTCTGTCTTTTTTCTCGTTTGTCCATCAAGTCCTCTGCCCAGCTGAACCACTGTTCACAAAACAGACCAGGCTTTGACACGTAGATGTGAGCATCCTCCAATTTATTCGTGCAGCTGACTTTACGGCCAAATTTTCAAGTGTAATAAGAAACCTCAACCCTCTTGATGTGTGACTGCAATGTTCTAAAATTTTTATCCTCGTTGATATCCCCTCTGTTTTCTCTGTTCACCGGAAGGTAGTTTCATGGCATGTGTACAAGTCACCATGGAAGTTGAAGACCTTTCTCTTACTTAAACCTGCCATGTCTAACAGCATTTTAGGAGTTGAAAATGAGACTCCAAGCAGGAAGTTTTTTTGGGGGTTTCATTGTGCTCCACCACTATTTTTAAGTTCGGGGACATTTGTGATTGACATTGTAAAGGTAATTGGGTGCAAATTGACTTCAGCAAAATGGGCTCTGCTCCAAAACAATTGGAACCTTGATGGCTAGATAACCCGTAAGGGTGAAGCTTCAGGCTCCAAGGCGGCATTTCAAATGTACTGTTGTTCTTTTTGAACTCTAGGTAGAGTTTGATTGCCTGACATAACTGGTGGCTGATTCCACTGGAAGAAGCAGCAAAGCAAATATAATGAAGTACTATGCAAACAGCTTTAGAAGATTTTAATAACAATGCCAACAGATGGTAGATACAGTTCAACATAGATAAATATAAACCACTTTCTGCTGTTCAAATCTGGTTCTGGAAATTACAGCACCAAGAGGCTATTTCCTCATCCAAATGAAGCTGCATTGTCAACTGGAAGAAAAGTAACAGGTCTAACACCATTTCCCTGTCCTTCTTTTTTACTTTTTATCTCCTGATGTTCATTTTACTAGATAATTCCTTTGTTGTGACATCAACACTTCAGTTGGGGCAATCAAATGGAATATTTCCAAGCTTGCCGACAACCCTAAACTAGGTTGGATTCTGAGTGGTGAGGAGGATGTAAAGGGCCTTGAAGGTGACTGAGACAAGTTTGAGTGGGTGAGCAATTGTTTGACAAATGCAGTAGAATGTAAATAAGTCAGCTTATCCCCTTTGGTAGGTAAATCAGGGTGGTGGGGTATTATGTAAATGGTGATAGTCTGGGAAGTATTGATGTACAAAGGGAGCTGGGGTCCTTGTACACCCAGTCACTGAAAGCAAGCAAGCATGCTGGTGCAGCAGGCAGTTAGGAAGGCAAATGGTACGTTGGCCTCCAATGCAAGATTGTTTGAGTGCAGGAGAAAAGAAGTCTTGCTTTAGCTGTACAGGGTGTTGGTGAGACTACACCTGGATTACGGCATACACAGGCCATTAGAGGGAATGCAGCAATGGCTCATGGGACCGACTCCTGGGTTCCTCTTATGAGGAGAGATTAGGTTGACTGGGCCTGTATTCATAGGAGTTTAGAAGAATAGAGTGGATCTCACCAAAGTGCATAAAAATCTGACGGGGTGGACAGACCAGATGTAGGAATCATATTTCCCTGGCGAGGAGAAGTGGAGATCCAGGGAAAGTGGTTACGGACTCAGGATGGCAAGTATGCCATTTTGGACTGGGATGAGGAGAAGTGCCTTCACTGAGGGTGGTGAACCAGTGAAGTTCTCCACCACAGAACATTGTGGAGGTCAAATCGTGGAATATATTTAAGAAAGAAAGAGATTTCTGGAAGATAAGTGTTGAGGAGTATGGGGAGAGAGTAGGAGAATGGCATTAAGATAGGAGATCAGCCACCATCACAGTGAGTGGCAGAGCTGCCTCTGGATTAAATGACTACTACTTCTCTTTTCTATGTTTCTATCTAATATCAGCCCCCGTAGGTGCTGTGGCCGCGCTCAGACAGCCAGATGTGCTTTCCATTTTGTTTAATGCTCTTCTGTCACCTGCATTTTGACTGCACTGTTAAGTGCATGGTGGGACAGGGGGAATATTCTGTTGCCCAAGCTTCCACTTCTGCCTACAATCACCTGCTGAATCCCAGCAGGTAACATGGTAGGAATTGAGTACTCAAAACAGATAATAGGCCCAGGTTTCCATCCTGGAAACTTGCTGCTCAACACATATCGAATGTATAAATATGGAATAAGCAGTGCTTACTCAGCAATAACATGCTCTCTGGCGCTCGGTTTGAGTTCTCTCAGGGCCAAATCCTGACCCCATTTACAGCCTTGGTTCAAACATGGGCAAAAGCACTATGTCCCAGATGTGATGTGAGAGTGACTGCCCTTGATATTCAGGCTGAATTTGACCAAATGTGGAATCAAGGAGCCCCAGAAAAACTGGAATGAATTGGCATCGGGCGGCACACTCTCTGCTGGTTGGAGTCATATCAGCTACATAGGAAGATGTTTGTGATTGTTGGTGGTCAGTCATCTCTGCAGGAGTTTGTCATGGTAGCATTCTAGGCCTAACCACCTTCAGCTGCTTCAATGGCCTTCCCTCCATCATAAGGTCACAAGTGGAGATGTTCACTGATGACCATGTTTATAGTAATTCGTAACTCTTCAGATACTGATGCTGTCCATGCCAAAATGCAGCAAGACCTTGACAATGCCCACACTTGGGATGAAAAGTGGCAAGTAATATTTGTGCCACTGAAGTGCCAGGCAATGATCATCTCAAACAAAAGAGAACCCAACCATTATCTATTGACATTCAGTGGTATCACCGTCATCAAACTTCCCCGGTGTCAACATCCTGGGATCACCATTGCTCAGAAATTGAACTGGAATAACCTAATAATTCAAATAGTCAACCTGGATTGAGGAAGTGAAGATTTATGTCATTCTGATCACAACTTTTTTTAATCGCTCATGGGACTGGAATAGCCACATAAACATTGGCTATAAGTGTAGGTCAGAAATGAGGAATCTTATAAGCGAGTAATTCACCTCCTGACTCCCCAAAGCCTGTCTGCCATCTACAAAGCACAAGTCAGGAGTGGAAAGGAATACTCCCCACTTGCCTAGATGAGTGCAGCTCGAACAACACTCGTGAAGGTTGACACCATCCAGGATAAAACAGCTCGCACATCCATAAGCACCTGCTCCCCACAACTCTGCTCAGAAGTAGCAATGTGTGCTACTTAGAAAATGCACTCCAGAAGTTCACCAGAGCCCCTTAGACAGCACTTTCCAAATGCACAAACACAACCATCTGGAAGGACAAGGGCAGTAGATACATGGGAACACCACCATCTTGAATTTCCCGTCCAAGTTATCAACCATCCTGACTTGGAGATCTATCATAGTTCAAGCACTGTTATTGGGACAAATATTGGGACTCCCTCCTGAGCAATACTGTGAGTGTACCAACACCAAATGACTTCAACAGTTCAAGAACGCAGCTTATCATCACCTTCTCGAGCAAATAAGATTGGGCAATAAGTGTTGTCTCAGACGTTGACATCAGACTTGAGCCTCATGAGTGAATTTAAAAAGAAATGCTATGCCCAGGATGAGACACAACTTCCCTTCCTCAATCCATGCTGACTACTTGGTCATTGTATTTGAAGTATTAGGTTTCTTGTGACACAGGGTTAGTGTCTCTACCTGTAGACCAGAAAGCCAAGATTCAATTTCCAACCTCCTCCAAGGTGTGTAATAACATCTCTGAACAGCTTGATTAGAAAATATCTAATCGAAGTATTCACTATTGTTCATATTGTTAGGTGTGCATCTCATGCCACTTGGTAAATAGTAGTGTTCTATTGATGGCCAGTTCTTGGCAATGTCAAATATGCTGGTTAAAGTTCTGCTTACTTCACCAGATCTCCTTTTAAGACCAACTGACCCAAGTTTCTCTTGGTCTGTTGTAAGACTACCCCATTATTCATGCCTTATCATTTGCATATTGCTTAGTTCCTCTTCTGTTTTTCCTGGAAATCTGATGTCTGACCTTGTATAACTTGCCCATCTCTTTCTCAATAAAGATGAAGTGATGTAACTATTTCATAATTCTGTTTCTATTGCCCTTGACTGCATTGTTTCCATTTTAACTTCATCAACAGCTTTTAAAATAAGTAATTTTTCCACCAAAATCTTTGACCATTAATGGATTAAGG